ATTTGAAAAGAGGGACTATCACTAAGAATCACACGACGACTTAATCCACTCCCCTCAAGACCCTTAGAGGTCTAACTCGCGCCCTTAACTATAGGAAAATAGAGCAAGGTATCCAACTAATCAGAAAACAACCCACTAAAGACAGAAACTCACCAAACAGAGCAAGTCCACAACAACAGCCACTCTAGAACAAATCAGCAAGTGCAAACAAAAGGCTTATAGGCTCTCAAACATGAAGAAACACATAGGAACCTCAAGAAAACATCAAAACAGGGCCCCCACACCCTTGCACCACGCTAGTCGGCTCCCAAAGAGGAGGAAGAAGGGAAAAATCAACCAAAAAAGGCTAGAGCAGGTTATTCCAAAAAATCATCCATTTTTCCTGAAAATCAACCAAAAATAGAAAAACAACCAAACAACGAATACAAAATTAAAATAAAATCATAGGGTCTATCCATCAAATTTCAAGCATGGGGAATTTTATTTATTTATTTATTTTTTTCCCGAACTGTTTACAACGAAAGCAGAGGGAAAAGAGAAGGAGACACCGGGAAAGAAAACCTTCAAGGAGGAAGAGGAGGCTCTTAATACCATGTTGGCTTCATAGATTAAGATGAAAAAGAATAGTGGAATCGAGAGAGAGAGAGAGAGAGAGAGAGAGAGAGAGAGAGAATGACAATACGGCTGCTGAAATATTATTACTCAATCATAGGGTTTATATCATAAGCATATGTATTTATACTAATAAACACAAACACATAAGTACCAAACTACCCTCACATAACACTTAACACCGATTATACACATAGAGTTATTATAAGGCATCACTGCTGTCATGGTGTCCCTCAGGAACTCTAGTCCTAGGATTGCTTGAAAGTCATCCATAGGCACTGCCGTGAAATGGGTTCGCCCCTCCAATGAGCAAACTTTGATAGGAACTGACTTTGCAATGTCATAGATCGGTTGAGCCACCAAATTCACTGCCTTGATCCAACTAGAGTCTCTCTAAAGACAAACCCAATCTTTCCACCAAGAACAAATACCCCATTCCTCTCATTGCAGACTCTTTTGATCAGTTAAGCACAAGGTACTTCTACAAGCTAGACTTGCAGTCGGGCTACTACCAAGTGCAGATCAAGGATGGTGATGAGTCAAAGATGTCGTGTGTCACTTGGTATGGATCTTTTGAATTTCTTGTAATGTCTTTTGGTTTGACTAATGTCCCTACAACCTTTTGTACTTTGATGAATGAAGTATTTCAGGAGTACTTGGACAAGTTTGTGGTGGTTTATGACATTGTGGTATACAGCTCCACATTGGAGGAGCATGTACAACATTTGAAGCAGGTGTTTTAGAAACTAAGAGAGAACCAACTGTTTGTGAAGTTGGAGAAGTGCTCATTTGCCCAAGACACCATCAAATTCTTGGGGAATGTTGTTAAGCAAGGGAGCATTCGGATGGAACAAGACAGAGTCAAGGCAATTCAGAAGTGCTAGCCACCTTCAGGAGTGTCAGAGTTGAGATCATTCTTGGAGTTGGCCAACAATCTATGTTGCACGGACACGGACACGGACACGGGACACGACACGGACACGCGAAAACGCAATTTTTCAAAAAATAGGGGACACGACACGCTGGGGACACGTTTAATATATATAATTTTATTTATTTATTATATGTCTAAAATAAAAATAAAATCATTAATTCTTGTACAATCAAAATAATAATAAAATTAATAAATATATTTTTTAAAAAAATTAATAAAAAAGGAGTTTTTTTTTTTTAAATAAAAACAATTTATTTTATGAATTTTAAGTTTAACAAAATTGAACTCAAGAACACTGCTGGAAAAACCTAGAAAATTTTATGTCCGCTCGAGCGAGAAAAGCGGATTCTCCCATTCATTTCATTCTCTCTATTTTTTATGACCAATCAATAACTATGTATCATAAATTCTTTTGCAAATTGGGGTTATTCTGAAATGAATTGTCATCTAGAGTTGTTTTCGGGTGTAGTCTTATATCTATATGTCATGGATTTGGATTTAGGTTGTTTTCCTTGGTGTGAATTTTTTATTTTTATATTTTTTGGATAGAAGTGTAGTGCCTTAAACTTAAAAGAAATCCAACTTCAAATCATGAATTATGAGCCTACTAAATATAAACTTGAGGCAGTGCAATTACACAAGTTCAAAGATTAGTAAAGAAAACTAGAAGTATAGATCGAAGGCAGATCGCACCAGGTTTCTCTCTCTCTCTCTCTCTCTCTCTCTCTCTCCCCGTGTCCATGGCGTGTCCGACTGGAAGATTTCAAAAAAAAAAAGGAGACACATTAGAGAGAGTGTCGAACACGTGTCTACCGCGTGTTCGACGCATGTCCGTGTCCGACACATGTCCGACACTCGTACGCAGAGCCTTGGAACGTGTCGGTGCTTCATAGCCAACAATTATCGGTGTTTTGTGAGGAGTTACTCGAAGATTGCTACTCCTTTGACGGAGTTGCTGAAGAAGAGCAGAGGGTGCGCTTAGACTGCGGAATGTCAGCAATCCTTTGACAACTTGAAACAAGCTTTGTCTAAAGATCCAGTCTTGGCTCTACCAAATGTTTCCAAGCCTATTTAAGTGCAAACAGATGCCTTAGATTTTGCACTTAGAGGAGTTTTCCTACAGGAGGGGCATTCGGTGGCATATGAGAGTTGCAAGTTGAGTGATGCGGAACGGAAGTACACCGCACATCAAAAGGGGCTTCTAGCCATGGTACATTGCCTTCAATTGTGGAGCCACTATTTGTTGCGCTAGCAATTTGTGGTGAAGACAGACAACATAGGGTGCCTCTTCATCCTCCTGAGAAACCAAATCCAGCAATGGTACTGCATACCCCTGGGCATTATGCCCAAGGACCAACCCAAGAGATACGATAGAGATCTACCATGCCTATCTTGTTGTTCACAACCATATGCGTTTGCAAGGTGCTTGGCGTAGAACTTGCATCCCCAATGAGCAAGTACGTAATATGCTACAACCGCCAATCCCTAATGCCCTCATCAGGGTGACATTATCCTGGCTACCTTCGTTGTTTGTTTCCCTCTCCATTGGGAAACCCGCCCCTCGCAGACACCACCCTCGGTGCAGACCTTGTATGTTTCCTTACCCATAGGAAACTCACCCTTCACAGACACAAACCTTAGTGCAGACCCCATACATTGAAGGTGCTTGGCGTAAGTTCCATGTACCGTCCCCATCATAGTGCTCCTAGGCTGGCTCTGATACTACTGTCACGGATTGGGCACTTGTCATCCTCCCAAAAAGCCGACTCCATGAGTAGTATTGCGTATCCCTTTGAATTATACCCAAGGACCAACCTAGGAGACGCGATAGAGATTTACCCTACCTGTCTTACCGCTCACAACCATATGCACTTGCAAGGTGCTTGGGGTAGAACTTGCATCCCCAATGAGTTAATATGTGACACCTTGCCATGCAGAACCAAAAATAATTTTGCAGTTTGATACATTTTCTTGAGGTTGCATCACAGGAGCTCCAGAGGAGAGAAAGTAGGCAGATGTGTAGACTAGTCAATTTATAGACTCAAAGAATTACTACAAATATAACTTTACAATAACTTAGAAAACAAACACAATCTAATTCATCCAACTCCAAAAACTTGTATAGCCAAATGGAATGTGTATTGCATGTTATTACAATGTGTAATATGCCTAGAGCGTTGAGACTACTGAACAAAAATTTTGCATTTTATCAAAATACAAAACCCATCACATGATTTACATGTTAGTTACTTTTTAGATTATCACACTCACATTAATAATTGTATCACATACTATGAATGAAGAATGGACACTTCTAGAAAGGAGTCATATTCATATTGTATCCGTATTGGATACTAATTCTCAGCTACTTGCAGATCTATACTTTATAGAAAGGATAAATAAGAAAATATGGCGATATTAGAAAGTAAAGACCAACCATAATTTTTTTTTTTTAACCGATAAGTATCAGATACTTTCACATAATCTAGATCATGTATCCAAACTATTATGAAATTGAGATTGTAATCATTCTCGCATGACACTAGAGTACAATTGTTGTGCTAATACAAGAATAATTTTTCTATACTTTGCTAACTCCTTAGAGAGAAGAAAATAGTGAGATTAAAGTAGTGCACGTTACTTTTTCAAAATTTATCAAATTGGCATTTCCTTAATGTTTTGTACACGTGTCCCATATTCGTATCTATACTTTATAGAAAGTAAGGATAAATAAGAAAATATAATGATACTAAAATCAGATTTCAACAATACAAGCCCAAAAAAAAAAATCATACAATACTTTTGCATGTAACGCTAACTATGACTGGGAAAAAAAGCATAGGGGCATTATAATCAATTTAAACTTGATATTGAAATGAAATTTTTATAGGACCAAGTAAAATTTAAACGTGAAATGGCTATTGATTCTTAAACTAATACCTAAAAATTATAAAATATATGTATTTGTTACGGACGTATTACTATACCTGTATGCTATTTTTTAGGTTTTTTGCATCGCCAAATCATTACCGTATAGTTTCAGTGCTTCATAGATGCCGTAATTCCTTCTTATCAAATTGGGGATCAAAAATCAACAGATAAGAATTACCATTTCAATATTTCCCATAAAAAACTCACAGAATGATGAAACCAATTTAAGAAATGAATTTTATTAGGGACATGGGAAAGAAATTTGCCCAAATTAGGGACAAAGAGCACTAAGCTAAAAAATACCATCTTCAAAATATCATAAACTAACTACTAAAGGCCCAAACCTCCTATTTATAGGCTAAAGGCCATCTAAGCAACCTAAAACAAAATTACACTCCAACTTTTATTACATCATAGAACTTATCAGATACTTTTCCCCAGATTGGATAAACTAGCACTCACATTGTAGCAATAACAACTGATAAAAAGAATTAGTCATAGTTAATATCTGTGGTTAATCTACCTTAAGCAGTCCAATATAAATTGACGTACAACAGGATGGTTGCAATTGAAGGTGTTTCCACAGCCTGAATAATTATAAAACTCTCCCTGAAAAACCATGAAGTAAGAGTTAGTTACTTGTCAATGGTTATAACTTTCAGGGAATATTTCAAAAAAAATAAAAAAGAAAAATAAAAAGAAGAAGAAAATAAAAAAAGAAAAAAGAAAAGAGAAAAGAAAAGAAAAGAAATGAAAAGAGATCTTAATACTTGGATATATTGTTTAAAACATGGACTTAACAGACTAGATGCCCAAATAATTTACCCTATAGTCCGCACTAAACCAACACCAGGTAACGATATTGGTTACAGATCAGAACTGGTAAAGTCAAATTATTAGAGAATTGATTCATCCACTGGAATACAATGTGCTGATGACGGGCTAATCTGATGTTCTCTCTCATATCAACCACAACAAAAGTAGTGAAGTTTATACCTCATGAAGTCTCTTGTCCATGGTAGAAAATAAATAATCACCAGTCATCATTTCCAGAGAGAAAAAAAAATACAGTCCAAGCATCAAAGTCTTCTCCAAGAGAGATAATCAAGATCTACATGAGTGACAATGGAACCTTAGAACAAACTTCACAAGTTTCCCTTCATTAAAAGATCATATATTAACCTGAGGAGAAGCAACAATTCCCTTTCTTAAACTTCAGACCCCTCATCAAGAAAATAAACCCTTTATATTTAAGGAATTTGAAGGCAATGGAAACACAAAAAATTCATTGATAAGAAATTTTGAACAAAAATATCTATTTGTTTCACTGATAACAAACAGGAATCCAGTGTTCCTTTCATTAATCAACTAAATGCTAAAAGATCAAAACATTAGCCTATAGAGAAGCACATATCCCCCTTCTTAAACTTCTTTCACTAGTCAAGACAATAAACATGTCTATTTACAGGAACTTAGAGCACGCTTGAACGATGGAATGGACTAACATGAAATGCCATTCTAGCTTTGCATTCCGTGTCCCATGTTTGATAAGTCTTATCTAAGTATGAATAGTCATTCCAATGAAATGGCTATTCCAACAAAATGTGGGAATGCCAATTCCTTCCTCCAACTTAAGGATTAACCATTCCATTCCATCATAGAATCACCATAAAATATTATCAATTAGCTACACCACCATTCCCTTTTGCTACCACCCCTTCCACCACCGCCGCCACCACCATTACTACTACAATCATCGCCACAACCACCACCCTATTGCCACCACCACATTATCACCGTCACCACCACCACTACAACCACCACATCACTACCACAACCAATGCATCACCACCATGACCACCACTACTACAACCACTACCACTACCTCTATAACCACCACATCACCATGCCACCACTACCCTACTACCACCATCTTCGCCGCCACCACCACAACTACCACAGCCACAACCACCACCTCCACCTCTACAACCACTATCCCCACCATCACTAGAACCACTACCCTACTGCCACTGCTCTTGCCACCACCATTGCTTTGTCACTACAACCATTACCTTACCAACACTACCGCTACTTTCACAAAAACCACACTACCACCACCATTTTCGTGAGAACCACCACTCTACGACTTCTACCTTATACCACCACCATCGCCGCCACCACCGCCACAACCATTACCTTACCACCACTACTACCATTTCTATAAAAACCAGACAACCACCACCACTATCGCGATAACCACCAATCTACTACCGCTACCCACCACCAGCACCGCCGCCGCCGCCACTGCTACATCCAACACTGCCACTACCACAACCACCACAACACTAGCTTACCACCACCACCGATGCCGCCACCAATATCACTATTCACACCATTACTTCCACAACTATCATGATCTATATGATTTTTTAACTTGTTTGTTACTAGCTTGTTAAAAAATAAATAACTAAAATATATTCCATTCTATTAATTTAAATGCATAACCAAACATGAGAATGAGAATTATCATTCTATTCTTATGTCACTCCATGTTGTCAACCAAACAATGGAATGAGAATGAACATTCTATTCCATTCAACCTTGTATTTCATTCACACTTCATTCCATTCCTTCATACCAAACATGCACTTAAAGGCAATTGAAACACAAACATGTCATAGATAGAAACTTCGGATATGTATGGAAACTTTTGGAAATCAGATGATTCTTCCAAAATCCTTAAATACTAAAAAATAAAAACCATTTCTATAGTAATACCTTAGGCGCAAGCATATAAAAGACACTGTTATCAACACCTCTAAATGACAAGGTGGCACCTTTCTCATTCCCTTCAGCAGTGTGATTGAAAACAACATCCATGATCACCTGTTAAAAATATATATTTATTTATATTAGAGGGAAAACTCACCGACCATTCAATAGCATGTTGAAACAAGCTGTTAAATGTTATTTATCAAAAAACATAATAAAGTCATCACCTCGATTCCTCGTTTATGTGCTTCTTTAACAAGAAGCTTGAATTCATTGATTGCACCGCTGCCACAATCACGTTTTCCAGCAGATGAATATCTTATCATTGGTGAAAAATAATTGATTGTTGAATATCCCCAAAAATTCACCCTGGCCAATAAATATGTTCGTAAGATAAATATTACTATGCAATGCCAATATGCTCCTTCCAAGTCTTTTATATGTCCATAAAGTTGTCGGTCTTCCTTTGCTTCTTCTGATTATTAATTTTTCAAGCAGATAATGACGACAAAGTAATTTAGGATTACATCCATTCGCATACACCAATTTTATCAAGATACCCTGTATAGGTAAAGCATTATATCATGCGTAGTTATAAAAAATATGTTAATGGATCCCAAACCTCTAATGTTTTATTTGGTTCACTAGAATAAGATGGAATGGAATGTCATTCCTTAGGCTCCTCTATGAAATGATGATCATTCTCTTACAATGGTTAATGATGACTCCATCTGCAATGCATTTTTCATTATTTTTTTAATCAATCAAACATGGGAATGATATTCTAATGCAATTATCATTCTATTCTATTTTATTCCAATGAAAACAATATATCTAAGAATGTTTTTATGTTATGTCGTATTTCCCTTATGGGTATTTTTGTACTTTGAGCATTATAAATATAAATATGATGAAATAAAAGAGAGAACCCTAAGTTACTCTTTCATCTTTTATCTCACATCATTCTCTCTCGACCTTCTCATCATCTTCTATTTTGTTCCTATTTCTTCTCTCTAAATCTAACTTGGTATCAAAGCAGGGAGCTTTTTTCTTCCTTTTCCACTTATCTAGTTCGTGTTCATGCTCTTCCTCTTGCTTCTTCTTTTTTGTTTTTCTTTTTGTTTTTGTTTTTGTTTTTTTTTTTTTTCATTTTTCAACACTGACAATGTAAATATATAAAATAATAAATTATTATTATTGTTTTTCCAATATGCTCGACTAGGGTATATATACCCTAGAAAAATATCAATTTTTTTGGGTGTACCTAAGGTCCTTTTCCCTTTTTCTCAGTTTTTTTTTTTTTTTTTTTTTCCTTGCAAAAAAGAGATCTTTTCTCTTTGCAGATATGTTGTTTAGGTCTTGTTTTGATTGATTGGAGGCCTGAACCAAGTCACGGCAAGAGCATTTTCTTCGTACCAAATTTCATGTGCTGGCCCATCAACCTATGGATCCTTAGTAGTCTCTGCAATGTACCCCATTATGAGCAGTGATAGCCAAACTGAAGGCATGTGGCCAAACCAAATAATTAGTGTCATCCAGCTTTATAGACGTAATCTGGAGAGAATTAACCCATCTTACTAGATGTAATTCAAAAAGACATAATATCACCAAGAATCACATCATGATTCAGCCTTCATTCACCGCAACCCTAGGAGTTTTACCCTCTTATAGCATTTATTTATGAAGGAATAGCGCAATATCACCACTCAAATGGTCCGAGACCACAAAAAACGAACAAAACGGATTGAATCTTCACATGGAAGCAAGTAGCCAACATAAAAGCTTCACCGCAGCAATGTAACTCCGAATAGCTCAAAATTGAGGAATATTAACAAAGAAAACTAATTGGTGTGCAAAAAATCCCTAGCCACATGTCCTTACCAAAATACCATAAAAACATCAAAACCTCAAAAAGAAGACCAATAGAGGGTAGAACATCTGTGTTCGGCACCCATAAGATTAATTCTATATACCCCCATCATTAGTCATACCTTCATGTTGAGATTTGGAAGGTAGCAGCATAGATGTATTCCGAGAGGGATAATGACGCGCAGCCTTATGAATTGAGGAAGACAATTAAAGGCTTTAATCAAAAGGATAGGTCTCTTGCCAAGTATTACACTGAGTTGAGTAGTTTGTAACAGAGCTTGATTACTATCAGAATTTTCAAGTTGTTTTCTCAAAGAATGCAGCTACATTTCATCATATAGTAGAGAATGAGCGAGTTTATTATTTTCTTGTCAGCCTCAACATGGAGTATGATCAGATTCAGGTTCAAGCTTTGGGTCAATATCCCTTTCATATTGTCAGAGAGACCTATGCTTGTGTTCTGCAAGAGTAGAGCAAGTGTAGTGCTATGGTCCATAATCCTAGTCATGCTTGCTTAGTTTTGAAAGTTACCTCCACTCCTCGAGATGGAAAATTGAGCCAACTCAAATCTAAAGGATTAGTTGAAGTGTGATTATTATGCAAAGGATCGACCTAACATAGAGCAATGTTGGAAGTTGACTGGTCGTCATAATCGAGGGCATGGTAGTAGCAGAGGTGGTGGTGTTGTGAGGTCCCATGCTCAAATGTCTAATACATCCACAAGCACTTCCAGTGATACTGGTTCCCTTTTATTGGGATGAGTTACAAACTTTCAAGCATTTAATGGCCTATCATGATATCTCCTCCACCATAGTTCCAAACCCTCTTCTTCTAATTTTGCCCATATAGGTACTCCTATACGTGCATTTAGTCTCTTCTTTCCACTCCTTAGATTATAGATTCTAGTACTACAAACCATATACTAGGATCTCTTAACATTTTTGCTCTTATACTCCTTATTCTGGTAAGGATAAAATAAGAGTTACTGATGGTCCTCTTTCTTCAGTGTCTATAAAAGGTTTCATCAATTGTGCCTCCTTTCTTTCCCATTCTTTGTTTTACATATTTTGAAATTCTCTACAAATCTACTTTATGTCAGACTCCTTATAAATTCCTTGAATTGTTCAGTTACTTTTTCCCCTTTACATTGTGTTTTTCAAGAACTAGATACGAGGCGAATGATTGGCAATGGTAGAGTACATTATGTCTTTACTTTCTGGATGCTACCCTTCCACTTTTATTGTCTTGTTAAGCTCTTCAAGCATGTAGTGGTTCAGTACTATATTTGCAACATAATGGCATTGTTGTTTGGGTCACCCATCTTTTATTGGAGACTTTTCCCTAAATTTGGTCAAGGATTGTCATAGGAGTAGTTTTTTTTCTTTTTTTCTTTTACTTGTTTTGTGATGGTTACAAATTTGTAAAGCATAAACGCTCTAGTTATCGTCCAAGAAGTGTTCCCACTTTTATAATTGTTCAGTCTAATGTGTGGGGCCCATCTCCTCTAGTTGCTTTTTTTGGTTGTTTGTGGATTGTCACTTTTATTAATTATTATTCTCGTGTCACTTGGGTGTACTTGCTTCATACTAAAAGTGAGGTGTTTTCTTGTTTCAAAATTTTTCATCAAATGGTGTGTACTCAATTTAACACCTACACAAGAATAGCTAGAACATGTCCATGAAATGTCAATGTGCAATTTATGGATGGAGAAAGGATTTGATACATGAGAAATAATGACCCATTGACTGGAAATAATGACCCATTGACTGGAAATAATCAACAACTTTCGCATGAAAGAAGGTAAAAGAACAAGAGTTTGTGTTTATTTATCAAAAAAAAGAACAAGAGTTTGTGCTATAATGTATTAACAAGAGAACTTGTAATAGTAAGAAGAGAAGCATGTAAAGACATAGAATCAACAAACTTAAAAAGGGGATGAACTGCAAGATTAAGTGAAGCTTTATCTTACACAAATACTTAGGATTAACTGACTCACGAGGAGTAAACTCCAGTCCATAGTTTAATTGTCTAGTGTCATATCAGGTTGAGTTGTTCAAGGAAAATTAATTTCCAAAAGAGAAGTCTTAACATTTGGCTCAAGTTTTATGATCACTTTAGAATAACGAAAACAAGCATGAAGAACCTTTTTATCATTTAAATAGTCATGGTATTCATAAATAGGTTTAGTGTCCTGATGACTAGATGAAGTGACTACATTTTTGCCTAAGATTGACTCACTTTAGCCCAAAAGAGAAAAGATTCTGGTTATCTAGATTAAGAGAAAAAAACCCCAACAGTTACCTTTTCAGATGAGGCTTCACATTTAGTAGGTTCTTGAGTTGAGGGTTTGCATTTAAGTCCTCTACCTCTTGCGGTAGGCTTAGCTAGTGTCAACATGATTTTAATGACCATGCTTAAAAAAGTAGCCATTCTCCCAACCAAAGTGTTGGGCATCTACATCATGTATCCAAGGATGACCTAGAAGCATATGAACTACATCCATAGGTAACACATTACACGTAATTTTGGTTGAATAACTACCAAACTGAATAAGCACTGGACAATACTCAGAAATAGACAAAAATGTCTTATCGAGGTTGTAACCCTGCATAGCTGAGGATGAGGTTCTGGATTAAGTTTGAACCTAGGGATAGCGGACTTTGACATCACACATTAATGAAACTCTCTCGAGATTCATCACAATTTGTTTTGTCCTCCTGTCCTCGTGTCGATTTCTTGATAGCTCATAATCATATCCTATATCCTAAAACCGAAGGTTTTATGTGGTGTGTTGCGCTAACATAGAAGTTATGAAATAGTAAGATTACATAAACCACTAACCAAACCAAACCAAACCAAGCCTTAAGTCCCATCAAATGGGGTCGGCTACATGAATCCTTCTTCTCCACGCGACCCTATCAAAGGCCATTTCATTAGTCAAATTAAGTAGATTCATATCTCTATTTATAACGCTAGTCAACGTTAATCTAGGCCTACCCCGTCCCCTAACACTTCCACCTACCATTACAGCATCGCATCTCTTCACTACTGCCTTTGTTGATCTCCGTTGAATATGACCAAACCATCTCAAACGATTCTCTCTCAACTTATCTTCTATCGGTGCTACTCCTACCCATTCCCGAATACACTCATTCCTAATCCTGTCCTGTCTAGTCTTACCACACATCCACCTTAGCATCCTACTCATTCCTAATCCTGTCTTGTCTAGTCTTACCACACATCCACCTTAGTATCCTCATCTCAGCCACACTCATCTTATCTACATGTTGTTTCTTAGTTGCCCAACACTCCGTCCCATACAACATATCTGGTCTAATAGCCGTTCTATAAAACTTACCTTTTAGTCTAGTGGGTATTCGTTTATCGCACAATACCCCAGACGCACTTCTCCACTTACACCATCCCGCCTTAATCCTATGGGCCACATTTGCATCAATCTCTCCCGTTGTTGTGATAATCAATCCTAAATAACAAAAATATTCACTCTTAGGCAGTTCTTGGTTCTCAATCTTCACTTCTCTACTTTCATTGTTACTGTTACTAAATTTACACTCCATATACTCTGTCTTAGTTCTGCTTATCCGAAATCCTTTAAATTCAAGAGCTTTTCTCCAAATTTCCAACTTTGTGTTAACTCATTCTCTAGTCTTATCCACTAACACAATATCGTCTGCAAAAAGCATACACCATGGCACGTCATCCTGAATATTTATCGTCAACTCGTCCATAACTAAAGCAAAAAGATAAGGACTTAAGGTAGATCCTTGGTGTAACCCTACAGTGATAGGAAATTCATTTGTTTCTCCAGCTGGCGATCTAATAGTGGTCACCACCCCTTCATACATGTCCCTAATCACGTCAATGTAGCCTTTTGTCACCCCTTTCTTCTCTAACGCCCACCATATTATATCTCGGGACACTCCGTCATATGCTTTCTCAAGGTCGATAAACACCATATGAATGTCTCTTTTCTTTTCTTTATACTTTTCTATTACTCTCCTCAAAAGATAGATCGCTTCCATTGTTGACCTACCAGACATAAACCCAAATTGATTTTCTGACACCTCTATTATGTCTCGCAATCGGCGTTCCATCACCCTCTCCCACACTTTCATTATATGACACATTAGCTTAATTCCTCTATAATTGTTACAATTCTGGACATCACCTTTATTCTTATAGATTGGCACTAAAATACTCTTCCTCCACTCGTCTGGCATGTTCCTAGTCAACAAAATTTTGCTAAACAACCTAGTCAACCAAGCAACTCCCTTTTTACCCAAACACTTCCAAGCTTCAATAGGTATATCATCAGGTCCTAAAGCCTTATTTGATTTCATCTTCTTAAGTGCAATCTCCACTTCAAAGTTCCTAATCCTGCGATAGAACCTACAGTCTTGGTTTATCGTATTACTGATTATTTCTTCCCCTATTGTCGTACTTCCATGTTCCTCATTTAACAGTTTCTCAAAATAATTCTTCCATCTTTCCTTAATCTCATCATCCTTCACCAATACCATAGAATCCTCACTCTTGATGCACTTTACTTGATTAAAATCTCTTGTTTTCCTCTCCCGTATCTTAGCAAGTTTGTATACCCTCTTCTCTCCCTCCTTACTATCTAGTCTAGTGTATAGGTCATCATAAACTTTCAACTTAGTCTCTCTCACTACTTTCTTGACCTCCTTATTAGCCAATCTATAGCTCTTAAGGTTTTCCGCAGTTCTATCCTTCTGCCACTTTTTAAAACACTCTTTTTTTGCCTTAACTACCGCTTGGACCTCTTCCCTCCACCACCAAGGTTCCCTAGAGCTGGGTCCCGTTCCTTTCGACTCTCCAAGCACTTCCCTTGAGATTCTCCTCATACAATTGGCCATCGAATTCCACATAATGTTAGCATCACCTTCTAAGTCCCAAGTACCTTCTTTATCTATTTGATTCTTAAATATTTCTAGTTTATCCCTTTTTAAGTCCCACCATCTCGTCCTACGACGCCCACCATCCTTCCTAGCTTGGTATTGCCCTCTAAAACATAAATCTAGTACCAAAATCCTATGTTGAGAGACCAGACTCTCTCCAGGAATCACCTTACAATCATTGCATTTTAGGCAGTCCACTTTTCTCACTAAGAAATAATCTATTTGGCTCTTAACTAATCCACTCTTAAAGGTTATCAAATGCTCTTCCCTCTTCTTATACATAGTATTGGCCACCACCAGGTCAGAAGCCAACGCAAAATCTAAGATTCTCTCTCCAGCCTCATTTCTGTCACCAAAACCGTATCCACCATGCACCCTTTCATAACCTACTTTATCTATGCCCACATGGCCATTAAAATCTCCACCTATAACCAGGTTCTCTCCTACGAGTATCTCCTGTAAGATCTCATTCATTTGCTCCCAAAAATCCCTCTTAGTCTGATCATCTAACCCTACTTGAGGGGCATAAGCGCTAATAATGTTCATTATATTCCCTCCAATAACTAGTTTAACTAGCACAATCCTATCTCCTTTCCTAGTGACCGCCACCACACTTTCCACAAGACCCTTGGCAATTATGATTCCTACCCCATTCCTGCGTCTATCCTTACCACTATAATAAAGTTTAAAACCAGTATCCTCAATTTCCCTAGCTTTCTCTCCCGTCCACTTAGTTTCTTGTATGCAAGCTATACTAACTCTCCTCCTAATCATAACATCTACCAATTCCATCGTCCTACCAGTTAAGGTTCCTATGTTCCAAGTGGCTATCCTAAACCTATAGTCTTGGACTAGCTTCTTTACCCGCGCTCGTCCAGATATTGTGCACTATACAATCTAAGTGCATAAATTTAATGCAAGGAAGATGTTGGAGTTTAAACTTCCAACAGCAGCAAACTAGAAAGTTATAGATTGAGAAAGGAAATAAAAAAAACCAAAATCATATATTTTAATAAAACAAAAATTGCACAGTGATTTTAAACAACACAGTTCTATAAAAATGTGGTGATGTAAGAAGAAAAAAATACATAGGAATGGGAATTCGGCTTCAATAATCATCCCCGCCTTGTTTATTTCTTCTGCCTTCTTTTTTTTTTTTTTTTGGAAAAGCGACGAAGAATATTATTAAGCATGAGCACGAAAAGAGAGAGAGGACAAGAAGTCCTTAAACAAGAAGTTTCAAAACAACAACAAAAACCAAAAATAAACAAGAAAATCTGGAATTGGTATCTCTCTCTTTTGCCCACTTCAACTTAGCCCTTTGCCCCAATAAATTTGTTCCTTAAAAACTAGCTCTTCCAATTTCAATCTAAGCATATTTCTCTCATCTAAAAACCCTAGACAACCCCTCCCTAATTTTCTTAGCATCCAATTCCTCAATGCCCCTTTGAGCATCTCCAACGGTGCATCTTTTTTTTTTTTTTTTTTTTCCCACCAAATTTGAGTAAAAACTCCATTTGATATCAAGTGCTCCAACGGAGAATTTTAAGCTTTCATCAAAACACCAGTCGACTGGGCAATGGAACGGCCAATGTGTTTTTTTCACAAATTTTTGCCTAGAGGTGGTCATCCAGGAGGACATCCCGGGGGGCATCTGGTGGTGAAAATTCAACGGTTATAAAAAGTGATTTGATGATAGCTCCCAACGTCCACAATTTGGTTAAAGATTTTTGATATCCTCAATTTGATACTTATTTGATGAAACCATTGGAGCAGGAAAAGAGGGGTTTTTTCATCAAATTTAAATTTGATGACAAAAATGATGATCCATTAGAGATGGTCTTACTAACTCCATTTTAACTCTTTCAAATCACCAAAAACATCATGCTTCCACAATTTCAAATTCTCCTTGACCCCTCGCAACTTTCTCATAAACTAAAAGCCACCCATGAACTTCCTCATTCTCCCACCAGTTTTGAAAATAAGACTTAAAAGAATGATCTTCCAGCCATGCATTCTCGAACCTAAAGGGAGATGGACCCCACTTAAAGGAACAACTCTCGAAAACCACCAGACAATGATCCGAAACAACCCTTGGCAATGCCTCTTGTCTAATATCGGGAAACAAACCTTCCCATCCCAATGTGTGGAGAAACCTATCCAACCTACAACACACAAGGTTCTCCTAAAGATTAGACCAAGTAAACCCAGCATTACTCTAGGGTAGATCAATTAATCCACACACTCTAATAAAAGAGTCAAAATCCCTCACGCTTCTACTTGTAACCGACCCATTAAGCTTTTCCGAAATGAGCCTAACCACATTGAAGTCACCCCCCATACACCAATTTGGAGAACAAAGCCCAAATAAATCTGCCAACTCCTCCCACCACTCCTGTCGATTGCAAGGTCTATTAGGACCATAGACCCCTGTCAACCACCATTCATTACTATCCCTATTCCAAAACCTAATAGACAATGAAAAAAAAACCCTAATCTCACACTCCATAACTACTCTCCCGTCCCACATAACCAAAATTCCCCCTGACCTCCCACAAGAAGGTAAACCAGCCCACTTTTTAAACCAAGTCCCCCAAACACTCTCTATAAAAAGACCTATCACACCTCACTCTTTGTTTCTTGAAACATCACAATGCCTGGTTGTTGTACTTACAAAAACTACTTCATCACTGCCCTTTTTCTACGGGACCACAATCCTCTAGCATTCCAATGCAAAATCTTCATTGAGCACCATCAATGACTCTTGCCTCATTTGCCCAGCCCTCATAATGAATACCGCTCTCAAGATTTCTCAAACCTCTTCTATGACCCAAGCTCCTATGAGTGATATTCCCCTTAGATGCTAATTCAAACTTCTTAGACCTAGACTTCTTCCCACTGGTCCTAACAAGGGACAAACCAAGAGTGTCAAGCAAATGCACAAAATGAGGCACATCCTCCTCCAATGGAAAAGACACAAACTTGCTCATCTCTTTCAGCCATTGTTCATAATCATCCCTCCCATTCCCAGGAACACTATCCACCCCGAGCCTATGATTACTAGACATCTCCTTCAAAAAGCCTATCCTATAATCCTCCTCATTAATTGCATATGGGCTCAAACTAGCACTGGTAGAGAAACTACGTATGGTTGACTAATAGCATTGGAATTCTCAATTTAGTTGCAAATAAAATTGTACCAAGAGCTTTGTCTATATGTTATCATTTCCACTAGTTCTTAAAGTGTGTAACTATGATGAGGAGAAAAAAAAAATGTACTTATAGTCATCCAAAACAGAGTTGTAGCAGTAGTATTCCAACTCATTGAACTCATGACAAGGCATTAACTCTACACAGTTGACACCAAGTTCCTGCACAAAAAAAGAAAACAATTTAGGAGGGGCATATGGCAAAATGAAGTTTGATTAAATCAGTTCATGATAATACATAGAAAACTAATTACAAACAATCACTCTTACACATGCAAAATAATTTTAGAGTGACTGGAGCAACTATTTCAGCACTAATTTACAATTAACTGTTTGTTCTTTGTAGGACTATTGGGTCCATACAAAATGCATATCACTAAATTAAGGTTTCACATAGGAAGTCCGTCTTCAGCTATTACTGACTAGCAAATGTTTGACTCAACAATTGATTTGTTTGAAAACAACCAAGGGCAGCGCTCATTCAATCAAGTTTTTAATAAATTTACAGAATGTGACCACCCAAACCCTACTAAGGAGCTGAAACTCATTATGTGTGGGATATTCTCTTGAGAGGAGAACCTTAAATCCCAATTCTAACAATAACTGTTAGAATCAACATTCCAAAATTTTGATACAATCTAAGAAGCAGGGGTGACTCAACCTCATAGTTGATGGGGTCCCATCCCCCAATCAACTTATCAAAAACTCTTAATTTTTTTATTTATTTATGTGATTAATGTTTTATTTAATATGATTCAATCTCATTAAAAAATTAAGGGACCCCACCATATAGTTTGATCTCAACAAATGAATAATTTCTTGATTACATAAATACAAGAAAATGTGTTTGACATTATTGACAATGAAGTTATTATGTAACAATTCTAAAAAATAAAACATCATCAAATGCAATTGTAAAAGTTTATATTCTTTTTTGTTACGACAATAGTATAATCCTTTTGCAATTTATTCTACTTAAAGTTTGAAAAGTTTAAGCCCTCATTTGGGATTTGGCCTTTTTAATAATTTTTTTGGCTTTTTGACTATTTTATGAGGTGAAAAAAGTCAATATAGTTGATAATGACCTTTTTTAGTTGTATGAAAAAACTTATTGGTATGTATGACTTGCTTTTTTAGTGATTTTTAACTTTATGTTTTTGTAATTTTTTTTTTTTCACATTTTGACTTTTACATATATATATATATAGCTTTTCACATTTTTATAAGCCTAAAAGTCAAGTTTACAAACAATGTTTAATTGACCATGTTTAGTTTAAAAGTTTTATTTATTTATTTATATTTAGAATTTGTGGAATTTGAGCATGTGGGTAGCCCATCTCTAAAAATTTCTAGAGTTGCCACTACTAAGAAGCACGGACTCGTGACACAGAAGAGACATGACCCGGACAAGCCAACACCAAGATTTAAAAAAAAAAAAATCTAGGACATGACACATGGAGGACACACAAAAAATATATGTCTTCATATGTTTATTATAATATATATATATATATATATACAAGGATAAACAATTACTATTCGTCACATGTATGGATATTTGATTCAAAATTCAAAAAATTTAAAGTCTAAATGAGGAGAATAGGTATATATTTATGTTATTTTTCTTTTATTATTGGATTTCAAGTTATTTTATTTAAACTCGATGTGTTTCATGTATGTCCAAGAAATAGACACGTGTTTCCAAAGTGTTTAAAGTGTGTCCGAGTCCAGAAAATTTCAAAAAATAGTAGAACATGTTTGGACATTTGTCCAACAGGTGCTGGGAAGTCTCCAACAAGTATCGTGTTCGTGTCTGTGTCCGACACACCACTCCACCTTCTTAGAAGTGTTGGTGTTTGTTACCATTTCGTTTAGAGTTTTCAAAAACAATTTTCTAAGTTTTCAATCCGTATTTTGTGTTTAGTAAATTTTTTTAACATTTTAATAATTTTTTTTTTTTTTTACTTTTTAGGCCCACTTCATCTAGATATACTTAAAAAGTACAAAATTTATATGAAATTTTTTTAAAAATTCATTGAATACAATAAAATACGAAAATGTACTAATTTTTTTTTTTATAATTTTTTGTATTTAATGAATTTTTGAAAGATTTTTGCATAAATTTTGTACCTTTTTAAGTGTATCTAGATTAAGCGAATCTTAAAACTAAAAAAATAAATAAATAAATAAAATAAAATAACTCACTAAAATCAAAAAACAAAACAAAAAAAATGATTGAAAACACTGAAAAATATTTTTGAAAACGCCAAACCAAATAGAGTGCAGTATACATTATAAACTCATCATACATCGAGTAAGCCTATGAGCAAAATTGTAATTCAATTTTCAAAGATTATGAAATGGAACAAGTAGAAGTTCAGATCTCAGAATATCATTTAAGAAACAAAACAAAACAAAATAAATAAATAAATAATATATATTAAAAAAAAGATCAAAATTTCAAATTAAAAGTTCATCTCTAAATATGAAACTTTTGCATGTAAAACTCTGTTATTCCATTTTTCCAATACCCACATAGACATACAAGGAAAAAATGTGATGTAGTAGAATAAAAAGGTTAGGTGTCAATTAAATAGCATGTTAGTTGTAGTCTATAAATAGGTGATGTAATAGTCCATTGTACTTAGTTTTGGAATAAGAAAATATATTGCGATGGGAGTAGAGCTTAGTTTCTCCCTCTAGCCCTGAGGGGTTTTACTCGCTAATTGGGGCATTTGTCTTATCTCTCTTAATTTGATTCTTGATTTTCATTTGGATTTCAGCTTCTAATTGAGTTTCACGATCATCAATCCACAAAGTCACGATTTGATCTTGATTCACATTCGCAGGAGTCCTCGAATCCTCTCCTTCGATCGAGTTCATATTCTAGGTCGAAGCCCTTGTTCGACTTTGTATTCCAGTTCATGAACCCTAGTCGATCCTCGAAATCTGCCTTGGATTTGTTCTGAGTCTTTGGCTTGCGAATAGAAGGTTGATTTCATGATTCATAGTCGAAGATCTAGACTCGAACTCGAAGACCTATCGCATCTCGCGATTTTGAAATCAAAGGTTGCATCAACTTCAATCTCAGTTCGTAAACTCTAGATTGCTGTTGAGGACTCTGAAGTCGAAGTGAAAATTGCGATCTGACGGGATTGCTTCGTCGACTCCACTGGACGAGAGAGGGATTTTGTTCAGTTGTTCTGGTTTGCATCTGGTTCGATGTTCAAGCCTAGAGTCTCTCTGAAGTCGAAGTTGAAGACCCATCTTCGCGAACTCAGACTCGAAGTTGAAGACCATTGCGATTTGAAGATCCATCACAAACTCGAAGTTGCTATGGTTCATTGCAATTGCGACCTAGCTCTTTGATTAGTGTTCGCGTTCGCTGTAGTTCTTGAATCCTCGAGTTCGCAGACTTCGAATTAAACCTAATCTTGCGATTTCAGTTTGGCCTTGTGATCTAAATTGCAAAACGAGATTCGATCTGGGTTTGGTCCTTCAACTCTAATTTGTTTCGCTGAATCAGTTGATCGACATGACTCAATTTAATTCTGGTATGTGTGACTCGGTTTTCTTCTCAAATGGATCTATCCTTAATCAATTCTGGTGTGGCCATCTTATTCTTGATTCTTGTTCTTGGATTGAATCCTGATTATTTGCTGCTACATACTGCTGTGAATGGATATTAAATTGAGTTGTCCTCAATTATGAAATTGTGTCTACAATTGTGATCTCTGTAATCGACATATCTACACTGTTTGTGGGTCATATTGGGTTGCTTGGTTATGGCTAATCGGGATCGAGGTCGTTGAGATAGCTGTGGTAGAGCTTATGCTAATCCATTGGGTGAAGAAACCGAGATGAAGTTCTCCATTGGAAGGGCCACTAATGCTAATCCAAATCGAAATTTATAATCAAAAAAAAAAAAAGAAAAAAAAAGATGAGCTGAAGCAAATGACTGGACGACTTGTCATATCACAAGCTGCAATTGAAATTTTGAAAAGCTTCAAAGAAATTATTTGAAGTCTATTGTTGGGACTCCTTTCATACCTCTTTAGGAAGTTGTTTCGAGTTGAATAGGTTGCTTCTTGTCTGCTCAATTCACATTCGTGACCGAAGAAAGGAAGGAAGGAAAGAAGGCATGCAATGTCAAATTTCAGCTCGTGATAAGTGATTCTCATGTGTTTTGCCTATTGGATGCATCGTCCATCCTCTTATTTGTGTCACTGTTTCTCAGCCTTGCTTTGGAAGATGTCATTTATCAACCCATTGGTCTCATTCTGACAAAATAAGTACTCTTCTGCACGAGTATGCAGGTTAGAGGTGACGGGGTTTGGAAGTGGGGTCTGTCCAAGTTTTAGCAAGAGAGTATGGACACACCTATGGTTGTTGAGCCAAGGATGCCAGGATGAAGTTCGATGTATTTGCAAACAGCTAAGTTGCGAGATTCATATTTGTTCTTGGATGAGGAAACACAGCATCTGTTCCTCACCTACAATTACATGAATACTGTTACGTTGAGTTTACTTAGCGGCTGCTTAAACTTGAGGTCTTCAAGATCGAGAGTATGATGTAGTAGAATAAATAGATTGTCAATTAAATAGCCTATTAGTTGTAGTCTATAAATAGGTGATGTAATAGTCCATTGTACTTAGTTTTGGAACAAGAAAATGCATTGTGATTGGAGAAGAGCTTAGTTTCTAATGTAGTAGAATAAATGGGCTGTGTCAATTAAATAGCCTATTAGTGTAGTCTATAAATAGGTGACGTAATAGTCCATTGTACTTAGTTTTGGAACAAGAAAATACGTTGTGATTGGAGTAGAGCTTAATTTCTCTCTCTAGCCCTTAGGGGTTTTACCTCTAATTGGGGCATTTGTCTTCTCTCTCTCAATTTGATTCTTGATTTACATTTGGATTTCATCAGTTTCTCTCCCTAGCCCTTGGCGGTTTTACCCCTAATGGGGGCATTTGTCTTCTCTCTCTCTCAATTTGATTCTTGATTTTCATTTGGATTTCATCAAAAGGTCCCCCAACCACATTCACATTCTACAAGACAAACTTACCTCCAAATGCCACAACTATGCAAATAGAAAGACTGCCAAACCTTCTTTTTTCTTTCTTCTTTTTTCCTCCTTTCTAATGAATATGAAATTTTGTTTATTAGTTAAAACTTGTAGTATAATATGTTTCCAGAACACTCATTTTTGCTCCAAGGATATCATGCTTTTCTATAATCAAGAACTCCTTTGGTATGGTCCATTATTGCACTAAGCCCTCAATTTTAATCTCCTTACCGGATGAGATTGCCTTTATGTTGCTTGACAAACTACACAAAAGCCAGAAGAGAGGAGAGTTCTTGGGAATTTTGTATCCTATAGTAATTACAGAAAAGCCAAACAAATAGGTCCAACATGAGATTGCTTGTCTTCAAAACATTTTTCTTCGACTATGTTATGAAAAAGTATACTTCTGCGAAAAACCCTTAGAAGGTAAAACCAGTGAAACATTTACCTTTAAGTGATCGAGTTTCTCCACTACACCAAGGTATGTACCAGGAAATTCTGTCCTGCTCGAATCATGCCTCGTAAATCCACGAATGTGCATTTCATATATTACAAGATCTCTTTGTGGAAATTTCAGGGGTAAATCTCCTTCCCAGTCAAACTAGAAAGAACAAATAAACAAAGTATAAACTGAATATGAAAACAAACACCATAAACAATAACATGAAACATGAAAGAGTGATGAAACTCTCAACTTGTACGTCCAAAAGTAAGGTATGGAAATGAATATATACATTCATGTTTTAAATTAAATAGATATCAAAAAGAAAATACTAAAGAGAAAATGAAAAGGAAGAACACTTAATTTAGTGACATAGTTTCAATGTAACTTTTAAAAAGTTCACCTAAGGTGTCTGCATTGAAAAGGTTTTTCAAAGATTTTTACAAGTTTAAAGCATAATATACAACAAAAAATTCTGCCTTCCCCAAATATACAACAACAAAAATAAATAAATAAATAATAATCAAATAAACAAACAAATTTTCTCAATTCAAAGTTCCTAACCAACTTAAGAATGTCCCCAAAAAAGAAGTAATCTAGCAATGACTCTCCAATCATTTACATGCCTGATGATGTTTACAAACTTCTGAATTTCAGAAGTTTCTTATAACAACAAAACAAACATATCAAGGTATAGACTGCAAAATTTTCTCACTAAACAAAAGATAACTTCTCAGTAAACTTCTTTCTTCCACAAAAGAGACTGGCTGATTGAAGGTATTTGTGCCGTGCATGACTCTCACATTATCATCACTCACACGGGCTTGACTCTACATCACAAGGCATCACTCATGACCTCTCATGGGTGCCTCGCCTTCCCTCAGGTACCTCACCTAGCCTTAGCATCTAGGGATGCCAATTTAAACCCAGCCCGACGGGAACCCGACTCCCCGACCCCGATTTGAGCGGTTTTTCCCCAAAAAATATCCCCGTGGGGACGGGGATGGTATTCAAAAACCAATCCCCGATCAGTTTCGGGCCAGGGACGGGGATTAGTGTCTTAGCCCCATACTCGGCCCGTCCCCGGCCCCGTTTTGCCGATGTAAAATTACTACTATACCCTTATATATATATATATATATAAACCAAACCCTAAAATTACCTCTCCCACGGTGAGTCACACCGCCTCTCATCTCCTCTCTCTTTCTCTCTCTCTTCTTCGTAGAATCGCAGCAGCTCCTCTCCCCGCCAATCTCGCTCCTCATCTTCCTCAGTTCGACTCTCTTCGTAGAATCACAGCTCCTCTCCCTCCCCGCCGATCTCCCTCCTCTTCATCAGTTCGACCGCCGATCGAGACCCCCCCTCCTCTCCAAACTCTGCCACGAGAGGCTGGCCAGTGGCCATGGCGGCTTTGTACGGCCGATCGAGACCCCCCCTTCTCATGCTTTTTGGTATGTCTATTAGGTGTTAATTTTTTAGAACTGGGGCTAATGAGGAAGATGATGATTCGGCTGCCATTCTTGACAACTCGTGCTTGTTCTTGACCTCTGTCTCTCTCTGTGTGAATGTTTTAGATTTTTTATTTGTAACATTTGAGCTCTGATCTGTTCAATTTGTTGCATATATATGTTAAATTTGATGTATGGGTGTGTTGTTGTTGATGATGATGAACAAATATTTTCAGATCTGTTGTTGTTGAATATCTATGTTTTTTTTTTTTTTTTGACCGGGGAATCTTTGGGGTCGGGGAAACCCGATCCCCGTTAGGAGGCGGGAGTAGAGGTAGTGATAGGCTCCCCGTCGGGGATCGGGGCCGGGGACGGGGAAATTTCTACCATCGGGGATCGGGAACGGGGAGTGTGATCCCCGGCCCCGCCCCGCCCCGTTGCCATTCCTATTAGCATCTTGCCTCAGCGCCTCACCATCACTTGGCTAAAGAATGGCACCCTGAGTTACATTCCCCAGGGTCAATACCTCAATTATAGTACACCTAAGCGACCGAAGACCCCATGTGAGAGCACTAGGGATCTGTAGATTAGAGGCTAGAGTGGAAGGATCGTCAAAGTTGCTAAGCCCACCTCTCAAGGTGGAATCACTTTCAACAATATTAGACATGAAAGAGAGGTCTCTACACAAAAACCATGATAGACTAACTCATGTGATACCTTGGGAAGTGTACCACACCTATTGTCACAGGACTCATTTTCAGTCTATAAAATTTTCCAGCGATGGCACTAAGACCTCGTTTGGGAACCTTCATTTTTAGTCAAAAAGTCAATTAGTTATTAAATTAGTCAAAAAGCCAACAACTCATACAAAAAAGTCAAAGATTCTCTTTTCTCTCTACTTTTTGCACATCTTTTCGTAAAAAGCCAAAAAATCATCCCAAACATACTAGTTTTTTTTAGCTCATATTTTAGACATATAGTCAAAAAGTTACTAAATTAGCCTGTTCCCAAACAAGGCCTAAGTCCCAACACTTAGTCTCAGCCCATGTATGCAACACACACACAAAAGTTAAATTTCGTCAAGCATACAAGTCAAGCAACACAACAATTATGGGAAAACCCAACCTTTATTATTGCACCAACAATTTACAAAGAAAAGCCAAATGCCAAACTCTCAAACACTAGATGAATTTGAGTTTGCATGGCCATGCCTATATATAGGCTATAATCAGAACATTTGAAATTCAAACAGGCTACCAAACATAAGGGACACATGCCATCTGGCATGGCAGTTGACACCCCCAACTGCCAATGGATTAAGACAGATTTGAAACAAGCCTACAAAAATAGCTATCATCAAGTGCTCCTTTATTTCAACCTTCCTTGTTCCTTGCCAGCATGTCTGGTTCTGTGCATAATCGCCCACAACTGCCCCTATTTTTTAGGAAGCCTTTGTCTTGTCTTAGACAATTTCGAATTTCTCAAGCCACTGGCCAAATAGAGCCCGGAGTGCCATCTGTTGGCCTTGGTCAAGTCTAACCACCTTGCTACCCAGCCAAGTTGTGCACCACGCCTTGCTGTCTAGCCAAGTCAAGCCATCTGATTATGTTAAACCCCCAAGTATGTTGCAGCCTAGCATTAAGGTCATATTAATGCTTGCACGTGCCATGCTGCCCATACTTTGGCCAAGGGTTGAATGTCGCGACACAACTGATTGCCCACATTGTTGTTTTGGCATGCCTTCCTTATGCCGCGGTCCAGGCCTGACATAGGTGCAAAGTGCCACCAAGTGTCAGGCCGCCAACTCCCACATATCAAGGTGCTAACACTTACCCACTATACTACCTCGTACTCAACCTGCCTCCTAAGATTGAGTTGGCCCCCACAGCCCAACCTAATCAATGATGTATAAAAGGTGAAAGTCAAACGAAAAAATAGCGGCCGCTAACCAAAGGGCACAATCATGAGAACCAAATTGTATCTGGAGATATTATGTTTGAATTCAATTGTATAAATAAGGATCACCTAGATGAGTGTGAAAGGGCCGCTTCTATAACAATTGATAAGGCCAAAATTCTCTAAAGCACTAGTGAAAATCAGGAATTGTCCAATGCCAAAATGGGCAACACCATGAGAACCAAACTATGTCCGAATATATAATGTGTGAATTCTATTGTCTTGGCTTACACAAACGGTTGAACAGTTCAAGGCATCACATCTAGTGATTAGCTAGCAAGTCCGATAGGCTTTTTCACTAGGGCAAGTTCTAGGCCAAAAGCTACATATCATGATGTAGGGTATTTACTTATGCACTCTCTCTTTGTTTGCAGGTTATGTCTTTTCTGTCAATTTTATTAATGTGGGGGATTGTTGAAAATTTTGAATGAAAATTGACTCCAGTGGTTGTATCTCTTGAATTGAAAGGGTGTGCCCTTTTGGAGAAATTCTCTCTCAAAGCTATTGATTCATTTGTTTACAAAGTTACAAACCAAATTGCATTGTAGCTTTTTTCTCTCTCAAAGCTAGTTGTGCAAAGAATTAAAAATTCACGACTCTGGTTGCCACCACCATTACAATACGACTGTTACACCCCGCAACCATGTCTGACGCTACTATTACTTAAAACCTTGAATACAACTAACTCACAGATTTTGTCTTACAAAAGTCACCAACATAACCGAAATATTGTAACAATTTAGTTTGGGTTGGGTTTGGTTTACTACTAAAACAATTTTTAACTACTTCGTAAGTAGATCCACTAGCCAAATGGCTTGCTTGGCTCAAATGAGCTATATCCTTGAAACCCATAACAACACCTAACCCTAACAGACCAGATACTAGCAGAGCTCATATATGAGATGTGTACATGTATCATTTTCTATTCAATGTGGGGCAACCATCTCAAGGGAACAACTCAGTTGTGCAAGTTTCCACATTACCTAAGCAAGGTCAGGTTTTAGGTCTCATTTGTCAATAGGCTACTTTAGCCAAAAAAGCCACTACAAGTTGTCACCTCACTCTCTACTTTCTGCACGTCTTTTCATAAAAAGCCAAAAAGTCACTAAAACAACCCATGAGCTCGGTTCGATTCTGGTTCATACAAGAAAGATGTACACCCCTGGAGCTAGTTCCTAGAAAGGGAACTACCGGTCAGTTGCACAATTATTCAGGGAACAAGATAGGACAAGACTTCCTAATCGCTAGTCAAGGAATGACAACAACTAACTAATGAGCTACACATGCTACTATATGCTAAGTAAATTGTCCGTAAAGAGTAGACAGATTGCAAGTGGCATACACAAAGGACGTGACAGAGATCCTGGGCTTCTTCCTGTTCCTGTGTCCTTGATCCAATCCAGGTATCCTTGGAAAAGGATCCAATAATTCCAACATTGATTCCATCAGCTGTATCAATTGGGCAAATACATCCATAGTGACTAGGATGGATATCTTGTATCCAAAAACTTGCAATTCGCCTTGTCAATCCTAGCGTCAATGGACTAGTTTGATCCAAAACTTGAGATAATGGGTGTGAACCCAAAAAAGACTCGCAAGTAAAAATGAAGAAAATAATTTAAAAATGCAGGCAGGAGTTTTTTTCATTAGAGCCAAACATGAATAGGGAAAAGTTAAACAAACAAAGGACAAAAGTTTTCCAACATAGCAAATTGTCAAAGTCATAGATCACATCTATCAACATCTATTCTTGATAACTTTGACTACAATATATAGAGCACTAGGAAAATTAATTCAAAGCTATTTGATTAAAATATCCATACCTCAATATTAGCGGAAGGAACCATGCAGGCCATCTGAGGCCAGCAATCATCCTCAGGTCCCAAAACACCAAAATCCCCTCGGCTTACAACTGCCTGGATTAAGTGACAGGAAAAATCAGTTACCCTTGCCCTTGGAAAACAAAATCAATTTAGTAAAAGTCATAAATCAAATTATATAATGAGGATAAAGGAAGTGGTTAACCATCTTCTTTCACAATGTGCAGTGGAAAAAAAAATCATATGTTTTGAGAAAAAATATACAGTATACAGGCCACTAACTTTAGCATAAGGATCCAACAATATTTGAGAGGAGTCATAGTAGTGTCCGCCTTCAGTACAAAATTTTCCATCAAATTTGTAGCCATATAGCATATCTTCAAAATCTCCCTTCAGAAATACATGCCAAACATCTCCAGTTCTATTAGCCATTGGATCCATAGAGATTTGCTCGGTTACTCTTTTCTGCATCAAATAAATGATGATAACTAGTCACACAAGATACAAATTAAAGAGCTCAAAAAGACAAAATATTGAATTTCAATAAGTTGACTAGATCTCAAGATTATCAAACTCTGCAAAAATGTAGAATACATTAACTTTCTGCCCTCACTGCTTCTTCATGCCCCTTAAGAAATATATCCAACTTTAATGATAAATGACAACTCCTTTAAAAACATATCAACATCATGAAAAGATGGGCCTCCAGCTTACCATGCCAAACTAATAAAAAAGGCATTAATAGAAAACTTTTATCCAAAGCTTCCTCTTTTTTTCTTGGTATGAAAAAGTTTAGGTGAGGGGAGGCTACCCCAGTCCAGGGCCAGGGCAAGCCGCAGGCCTCTGCGAGGACTTACATTGGACTTATAGATCGCTCACCAAGGAGGACTACTGGCAGTGGGAATCGAACCTAAGCCTTGAAGGCAAAGAGTCCGATCCTTACCAACTCAACCAACCTTCGTTGGCATCCGAAGCTTCCTTTTGTTGTAAAATATTGAGCCAAAGCTTCCTTCAAGTTTTCACTGTATATGAAACATATCTTGTTAATAAACCATCTCCGAAATTCCCACAATTGGATAGCCGAACATCTTCCTCAAATCACTTGATTTACATTCATATTCTTTTAGGCTCAGTTTGGTTAGAGAACATAAGAAAGTGAAAGAAAAGGAAAAAAAAATTAAAAAATTAAGTGTTTGTTTAGAAAGAGAGTCCTAGAATGTAATGGAAACTCAAGTTTCATGTACAACTCAAACTAGCATATTAGATACTCTATTGATTTCACACAAATTTCACACAAAAATTTCATTTTTCCCTCAAAACTTAGCATGTTTATTTTGGTTTCCCTCTTTGCCATCTTCCCTCCATAACTCCCTCTTATTTGGATTGATCTAATAAATATTTTCATGTTTCCCTCCACAAAATCAACTGAGTACATTGAAGATATTGTATCTCTCCTATTTCTCCCACCCAATATTTCATCGTCTCCAGTTGCAAGAACTCAAAGTATTGTTGATTTTTCTTTACAACAGCTCAACAATATTGGCTTTGTGATTCACTGTGAGTTATTTTCTTTCTTTACTCTATATTGTGTATTCTTAGTTTTCTTAACAAGATCAATTTCTTATCTTGAATATTTTTGGAAATATGTTTCTACGGTTATTTTCATTTTTTATTTTTGGATGGTGAAATAGCTATCATAATTTTTGGATTTGTTTTCATTTTTTATTTGAATTGGTAAGCAATGTTTCATACACGTAATCATCTTGCATCAATTTTATTGTCTTTCTGTGTTATAGTTCAAAATGTTTTTTATTTATTTATAAAGAACTATAAAGTCATTTTCAGCTTTCTGCTTTAGCTATATATATATAGGTACCAAATGTTTGGAAAAATTCCTGAACCAGTATGACATCATATGTTCTTATAAGATCAATCTAGGTTGTAGGATTTATGTGCTGAATATTTGCCTGTGTGTGTACTAATAGAAGAGGCACATGTATCTTCTCATCTTATACCATAAACATATGATTAATCTGGTGGTTGTTCAATTGTGTTGTTCTCCCCAAATATGTTTAGTTAATCATGCATCCTAATAAATAATTAATATTTTTTTTGGGATTGTTTTCTCTTTTCCACTTGTTTTTGCCAATTCCTATTCTAACTAGTTAGTTACCCTTTTTTTTAAATTTTTTTGGGTGCATTTTGTTAGTAAGATGTCCTTACGTGCTTATCACATCGATTTCATATTTGTAGATGGATACCAATGTCAAATATGATGAAGAACTTACATTTTTAGATGCATAATTTGTTGCGTCTTAGTATATGCCTATGGTGCATACTACTTAGAGTACGATAAGAGACCACCACGAAATTGTTATTTGACGCAACGTGAATTTGTGGGTGAGGTAACACAAAGTGATGAAGATTGTCACGACTTACTACGAATGAACATAGAGTGTTTTCAAAAATTTGTGTACATCCTGAGGGGTACTAGAAGGCTAAAAGATGTTGTGCATTGTAGTGTTGAGGAGCAAGTTGCAATATTCTTGCACATAGTATCACACAATGTCAAGAACTGCCCTGCAAAATACTACTATAAGCGGTCTGGTGAAACCGTGTCCCAATATTTTCATATGGTCTTAGATGCAATAGTAAGGATGGAAGATAATTATTTAAAACAACCTTCAGTTCAAATGGAGACACCTAAAGAGATATATGACAATCCTAGAATGTGGCGATATTTTAAGGTAAAATCTTATTATATATAACACGGTTTAATACATATACATGTTTTGTATATAGTCTCATTTGATCTTGCTCCAAGTAGGATTGTGTGGGGGCAATTGATGGTACACACCTTCGTGTGAAAGTTTCTACTGAACATGTAGCTCGATTTCGTGGGAGAAAACAATGGCCGTCACAAAATGTTTTAGCAACTTGCATATTTGATTTGAGGTTTACCTACGTCTTAGCTAGATGGGAAGGGTCAACATCTAATTCTAGAATCTTAGGTTGTGCTATTAATAGGGAACATGGAATCACGTGTCCTCTAGGTAAATATTTAACATATAAATAATGATAAATATTTTTGAACTTATTATGTATTATTAAGCCAAATGTTATTTTTTTGTAGGAAAATACTATCTTGTTGACGTGGGATGATTTCCTTTACTAAAGCATTACATTACCCCATTTCGAAGTACAAGATACCATCTAAATGCAATTAGAGGTCGAGTGCTCACCACATCAAAAGAATTGTTTAACCATAGGCATTCATCACTACGAAATGCAATTGAGCGAGCTTTTAGGGTATTAAAAAAACAAATTAGAATTTTGGTGGAAGAGCCAATGTTTAGCTATACAACTCAAAGGAAGTTAGTAATTGCTGCTTGCATCATGCACAATCATATTCAAGGAGTGATGCCATATGATCCACTTCTAAATATTGTTGATAGAGAGATTAACAATGAAACTGCTCCTATTCATGATATCATTGACACACAATTAACTAGGGCTGAAGATGGAAGAGAAGGAAAGAGAATTCGAACACAAATAATGAATGAAATGTGGGCTGATTTTGGTCAAAGATATCAATAGAATTCTCGAAAACTAATGTTTTGTTATTTGTAGATAAATGTAATTGATAGTATTTCATTGTTTTCTATTATTATTCAACAATGGTAGTATTTCCTTGTTAAACTCTAAATATTGATAACATAAATGCTTGTCTTTTTAAATGGTAGTATTCTTAGTTTTTTAATGATTTGATCTTATGTTATTGGTTAAGCATACTTGTGAGTTGTTATTATAGGAAATGGAGGTATATAAGTGTCAACAGCCCATAGGAGATGGGAAGAAAAGAGGAAAGAACATAGTTTGGTTTAAAGGGATGGATAAGTGTCATATTTTAGAACTAGTGCATCAAGCCAATGAAGGCTACAAAGTGGATAAGGGCTTTAAAGATCAAGCTTATATTGCAGCTTGTTCATCCTTAAATTCAGGCTTTAACCTTTCTCTCAGTCGCGAGCATTGTGTTAATCACTTAAAAACTATCAAGAAAAAATATAGATTGATACAGGAAATGTTGAGTAAAAGTGGATTCTCTTGGAATCCAATGACAAAAATGGTTGAATGCAGTGATCAAGTATAGGCTACATATGTTGCTGTAAGTATTTTTTTTTTTTTTTATAAAATATATATATATGTGTGTGTGTGCTTAGGAATTGACTGTTGGTTATATACATAAAAATAATGGTGTTATGCAAGCAAATCCATATGCAAAAGGATTGCAAGATAAGAAGATTGAGATGCTTGATGAATTATCTATTGTGTCTGGCAATGATCAAGCTACCGGTGAATGGGCATGTTCTGCCAAGGATGTAAATGCTAACTATTCAAAGAAAACAAATGATAGTGAGGATGAGTATTCACATCTCTTATATCCCATTGACAACATGGTGGCAAACGACGTGAGTGACATAGAAGGAAATGAATTTGCAACTCAACAAGGCAATACTAGTAGCCAAAAACCTACACTTGGCAAGCGCAACCATTGATCTTCAAAGCCAGTGACAGAGCAGTCAAAGAAGCCAAAAGGTGCGGAGTTGTTGCTGAAACAATGGTTGATGTTGCAACTAATATCATGAGATTGGCTGATGCATATGAGAAGAGTAAGTGCCTTGCATAGATTATTTGGAACTTTACAAGGCTGTAATGCATGTTGAAGAGCTTGATATCAATGGCCGAATGACTACTTTTGAATCCTTGAACGGAGATCCTATAAAAGCCAAAACATTTCTGATATATCCTCAAGATATGTGCTACTTGTTTTTAATCTGACAACTATCACAAGGAGGTCCGGATGGTATTTAGTAATAGCTAGGAGTTGAAGTTGGATAAATTTTCTAAATTATTGGTTCATGTCTTTGTTGGTATTCTTCTTTCTTAGTAATTTGCTTGGTTCTGGTCGTTGTCTCTGTTTGGTATTTGTCCTAGGTAGGTGTGATGTTTTAGTTTCTAGTATTCTAATTATGAGCTTGAGCTACATTTTTAAAATTCAGTCATGTTTTTCAATCCTTATTAAGTACTGCTATAAACTCTTGGGTGTTGGACTTTAGTTCTTTAAATGTTTTCCAAACTAATTAGTATTAATATTAGGAAGAATTATAAGTATATTCTAGTGGTCACTGTGTTTTTTTATGGCACAAAGACGAACAGTCACTCACACAAAAAAAAAAAAAAAGGTTAATCACAATGTTCAAGAGAATAGTTCTTGCTACATGTTTATTTTCCAAAATCTCTGTTTTTTGGGTCTTAGTAATAATAACCAGCCATGGCATTGATTTTAAATGAATAGAATTCATTTCATTTGTTAGTATTTTTGGTTAAAGCAAAAATAAATAAATAAATAATATTGGATGACATGTATGTTAATTGATGCTTAGCGATACTTTTTTTTAAAATTGAGTAGCTATATTGACATATTTTTGTGACAGCTGTTTTGTTAAAGAAGGATCAGGGCAACTTAGGAAAATAGAATAATTTTTCTACAACTTTCATGCTTTCCAAACTACATATTGAAAAATTTTCATCATTTTCTTACATAATTTTCATCCTAGTCAAATACATGCAAGAAAATAAAATTTCATTTCTCTTTCTTTTCTTTCACTTCACTTTCTTTCAGTTCACTTTCTATTATATGTTTCTTTCTAATCAAACGGAGCCTTAGGAAAACATAGTCCTTCCATCTATTTCTCAAGCACGAAACTGATTTCTGACACATTTTCAATCCAATCAAAGGTTTGATCTCTTTCTATGAAGGGATTGAATTTTTTAATAAAATATGCTTGCCTTACGTTTAAATGCAAAGGTGACATGAAATTACAAGTGTCACAAGCAAAAGAGCATTAACATACAAGTTTGACTGCAAGGACTGTCCTAGACCTAGTAAAACCGCATATAACAACCCATAACATAACTTGACCCAAATAACACCCAGACCCAGAGTACAGCCAATTTTTAGAAATCTTAATTTAAAGACTCCTCACTTATTTTTAATAAGTCCATCAAAAGTGCCAAGGAAAGGGCACAATGGTTGACCATGGTTTTAATTGTTAAATTGAAGTCCATGAGGTGGGCAAAAGATTTAGGGTGCATTATAAGGAAGAGTTTTGGGTCTGAACGAGCAATTGTGAAAAATAAATATACAAAAGTGCTTCGTGATTGTCACATCTCCCTGGGTTTCCGAAACCTTATTTTATTCTATATATCTCTGGGTTCGAACTATTTGTAATTGAATCCATGGACTGGCACGACTCACGGAGTTGGTTGTTTGTTTGTCTTTTCACAAGATTGTAAGGATATTATTGAACCTCGTTTATCTAAATTATTACATTACGCTTCATCTCCCTTGTTAGTGGGAGTTGGTGCTTTGAATTGGGGTCCTCCTTTAGTTCTACATTAGAAGACCTAAGTGATGGCTTGACAATCGTTTTACCGATTAAGCGGTCTTGTGCAGCTTGCAGGACTTGTGCTGCAGAAAGTTTCCCTGTGAACTTGCATTCACCACTCAATTGCTAGTTTTATTGCTCGAGAGGTCATTTGCTCCTTGCAGCATCTCCTTCTGCAACCAAGTACAGAAGCTGAGGAACCAGAGCGACCACTCAAGTGTTGGTCTCACCACTCGACCGGTGCGACGACTTCGGGTCACATAACCCACTCCCCTTCACCCATTTCATTTGTCCTTTTGTTCTTATGCACGACTTTTCAGCACAAACCCATCACTTTTTACACCACACTATATTCTTTTCTTCTCTTCTCTCTCTACATTCCACAATTGTCAACAACTTCATGCTTGGGTCTCATCTATTTAGAGTGAGAACCAGCCTTTCATCCGAGAGTTAATGTTGTAGATTTCACTGAGGACTACATTCCTACAATTTCAGAATTCCATTTCGGTGAAGTTCCATATCTTGAGTTTTTCATTCTCCTCTCCTCTCCTCTCTTGAGGTATGGGTTTCTCTTCTCCCTGTTATATGTTATTGTGCTTTCCTTTAGATTTCTTTACAAAACATTGTTGTTTACCATGCAATGGTTAGGTTTTGAATCTATTAATTCATGTACTTTACATTCCACGACTTCTCGATGAAATTGGTATTAGATTGGTTATTGTAATTGGTTGGATTTGTTCTTTCAACACCTTAGTTGGAAAACCCCTAATTTTGGCGAAGTTAGGTTTTTTGTCAAGACCCTAGAAACTACTATTCATGTTAGATCTATTGCTAGAATATGTTTATGGAATCACATGCTTGTGTCATGGAATTATTTAACATCAATCTTAATGAGAAATTTACTAATTGAAATTGCTTAACTCATGTGTGGGTTTGATTTTTATATTGGCACTACTGATGTGGTAGGAATTTTCATGTGTCGGTTTGTGGAATTAAGCAACTTAGGTTACAAGCTCTAGGGTGAAAGTCCTGAAAGTTGGTCAAATGGGCAACGGATCCTCACAACTAGCAGCTAGAGAAAGCAAGAATGTCACGACTTCTCCCTATGAAAAGTGCATGAAATTGGTCACGCAAACTGAGGAGTGTATGTTGGGCTTAGGATGTGTGTTTGAGAAACCACAGAAGTCTATAATGAGAAAATAATTGGGTGTTGACTTAATTTTATTTAATTGTTGTACTTGATACGCATGTGTCATCCATATTTCATTAAATTAACACCTCATTATTGGAATCTTCTATTTCCCCAGTGTACTAGTGTTTGCTGGGTATGACAAAGGTAAAGGCAAAAGATATGTGCCCAGCTCCAACTGCCATACTCAAATTAGACACTTTGATCCTCTTTGCAACGATGTTTAAAGAAGAAGCTCGCATTTGATAGTTAATAAAAATTTATAGCCTCTCAAACAGATGCGATGTAGAAATTCCCTTTTTCTCATACATCCTATTTAATTTCAAACAATTCCTAAATAATAACACTTACTGTTAGAATATTATACATCCAATTTTGAGTATTTATCCAAATAAAGGATTTTGGCAGGTCCGATATCGACATCATTCAAGTCGATGTAAACAAAACTAAAAAAAAATATAAAACTTTGACTATTTAACTACTTGGACTTTCTAGACCTAATGAAAAACACACATGCCTGACGATATTCTTGACCCAAAATAATACTTACAAAACCAAAATTCAGCCCATTTCAGGAAATAAATTTGAGTAGCAACTTGAAAGTATTAAAACCTGCGACTCTTGAAACATTAGAAAAACAACTAAAAGTGACCAGAAACAAGTTTGGAAATTGAAACAAAGGGAAGAGTACAGGACCAGCAGCAAGGCAGTGTAATTTGCATATAAATAAGACTATCCAAATTGAATAATGCTATATCACCAATTAATATACTAACTATTATACCAATTAATGATATGGCATGATTTAAGGAGTTTTCGGTATTTATAAGGTGATTAATGAGTGGGCTTAATAATAATGTCGTGTTAATGTTAGTACACTAGTCCACTAATTGGTGCACACCGATCCAAGTGTTAGTGTTAGTACACTAAGGTCATGTTTGTTTGGGTGGACATGAGCTTGGGATTGGACTAATAGTCCAATAAAATTACTAATCCAATGTTTGATTAAACAATTGAAGTACGGACTAATTATTTTAAACTTGACTATTAGTTAAGATAGGATACATAATCCAATGGATTTGTACCCCTAGGACTATTAGTCATGGGAATGCTAATCCAGTCCGCCCAAACAAACATGGCGTAATATCCAAGTGTTAGTGTTGGTAAACTAGTTAGCTCACTAATTGGTGTACACCGATCCAAGTGTTAGTGTTAGTGCACTAATATCCAAGTGTTAGTGTTGGTAAACTAGTTAGCTCACTAATTGGTGTACACCGATCCAGATCATAGATCCACATTTCCCTCTCTCCCTGGAAGGTGTAATAATTATAAATATAGTTATAGTTGGGGAATCCAAATGGAAAAACATTTAATTGGAAAGAAACAAGCATTTACCTGGTGCAAATCAGAGAGAGTCATAAAGCAAAGGGTCGCAGAGAGTGCATTGGAGGAATAAACAGCGAAATTGACGCCACCGTCTCGAGCAGTGGCTCCGAAAGGTGTTGGAGAACCATCAAACACTTGAAATCGCTGCAGTTTGGGCGGCTTCTCCACCACCACCACCTCCGCCCCTCCATCGCTGCTAGCATTCACAATCAACGATGCAAATTTCTTTGAATGGTTTTCTATTAAACCCCAATTCTTCCAATTTCGAACCCTTCTCTTTGAATCCTCTACATATTGAGTCTTCTCAGGACGAGGACACAACTTGCAAAAACTGTATACAAACCATGAACCACACTGTGACTGAACTAACTCCATCTGTCTACCAAACCAACTCACTCACTCGGATATCACACTTGGAATTTGCATTTGTGTATACTCCTATCTATATATGTATGTATGTATATATATATATATGTATGTATGTATAGAGAGAGAGAGAGAAGAAGAAGAAGAACAGTGCAGTGCAGATGTTTTGGGCGAGTGACCGATGCGAGGGAGTAATGTAATCTATAGTTTGTGGAAATTCTGATTGCGTTTGGAGAGAGAGAGAGAGAGAGAGAGAGAGAGGAACAGTGCAGTGCAGATGTTTCGGGCGAGTGAGCGACGCGAATGTAATCTATAGTTCGTGGAAATTCTGATTGCATTTGGTAAGTAATGTAATCATAGTTTGTAGAAATTCTGATTGCGTTTGGTAACCTTTAGAATTATGAATTAGAATTATGATTTGAAAATGGAGTTGTGTTTTATGTTTGTGAATTTTGAAATTATGATTTGAAAGTAAAAATATTATTTGATTATGAGTTTTGAAAGAATTTTGAATTTGATGATATTTATAACTTATCACTATATATATATAATCTAAAATTCTATTTAAAACTCATAAAAAAAAAATTTAAAAAAATTCAAAATATTTTTTATTTAAAATATAAAAATAATAGGTGCTAAAAAAAAAATACGGTTCTGGTCAACCAGAAGGATGATTGAGTAGATCAAAATTCAAAAATCCTCTATTTTTCAGAATAGAGAGAGAGTAGCCAAACAGAAAAGAGAAATATGTTTTGAAATGTGTGGTGAAATCACAATTCTAAAAGTCCATCTAAACAATACACGCAAATGGAAGGATGGAAAGTTTTCAAAGTTACACCAAACACAATCTCTATTTTCACGAGCTTAATTAGCTCCGGGCACACATTTAATAAAATGAAATTGGATAAATTATAAATACATTTTTTGAGATTTACTTAAATTATAAAGGATGATTCTACTTACACCACTCTTTCACGTCCTTACATCCTCTATATAAAGATTGTTTTTTTTTTTTCTAATTTTATTCATATGTAAAATTACTTAAAAGGACAAAACACTAAAATTAAATATATTTGATTATCTCCTTACACCCCATGACCTTTCAATTCCTACTTCTCTTTTTCCTTTCTTAACTTTTCTTTTCTCTTACACATCCCTTTTGAAAAACTGATAATCATAGTGTTTTGATCATCAAAAAAAGCAATAGATGAAGAAACGATAGTGAAAAACCATTAAAAAAGTGAAATTGTGAGTTTTTTTTTTTAGTTTGGTAGGTTTTTGTTTCGATTTTCTGGGTTGGTGTGCGATTTTTGTTCGGTGTTTTGAAATTGAACAAAATAACATAGTCCGGCATCACAGTGCCGAAAAAAAAATATAAGTCTAGCATTATATTACCGAAGAGCCCCAAATTATTATTTATAACAAAGTGGCTCTATAAATGTATAACAACAGAACGCTAGACAAATATATTTTTTCCAGCAGCATAACACCGGATAAATGTAATTTGTCTACTATTGTGTGACTGAACAGACATTTCACAGTGGGCTCCACTGACTTTGTTATGAAGCAAATTGAAAATTTCCAATTGTATGGCAACATAATGATGAGAAAAACTATTTTGTCTAGTAACACAACACTGGATTAAAGGCTAGTTTGGCATGTACTAAATAAGCAAAAAAGTTAAAAAGTCACTATCTTATTTAAGTCACATCATCTTATTTAAATCACATCACCTCTCTAACACATCACATCAAACCCAACCCAAACCCAACCCAAACCCACCAATAAGTCAAAAAGTGCACTTTTTTAGGACATCCCAAACCAACCCTAATTAAAATTCATTAGCATTTTATTACCGAACAGCCTCAGCACAAATTATTACCACATCATTTGGGAGGATACGACTCCGTAAATGTATAGCCACAAAAGGCTAGACAAAACCATTTATTCCGGCATTATAGCATCGAATTTTTGTAAATTGTTTCGCATTGTGTGATCGAACAAGCACTTCAATGTGGACTCTACTGGCTTTGTTGGGAAGCGAACAAAAATTATCCAATTGAACGGTAACATAATGCTGGGAAACAAAATTTTATCCGGTAACATTGAACTAGAGTTGTCACGCCCCAAATCCGGGCATGACCGGCCGTGGCCCACAGGGACTTAGCCCAAGGCACACGTAAGCCTATACATGAACCCAAAACCATAAAGAATAAATGTGATGATAACCCATAAATAAATAAATCAAAACTCAATCCAGTGACATGCCACAATTGAAAAACAAGTCATAACCAACTTCCTAAAAATATGTATATACCAAATGGGACACAAACCGCCCACAACATAAAATAATTCTAAATAAAACTCAACCACAATGTATGCACAAAACTCGACAAAGCATTTTGTAAGTAATGTAATCATAGTTTGTAGAAATTCTGATTGCGTTTGGTAACCTTTAGAATTATGAATTAGAATTATGATTTGAAAATGAAGTTGTGTTTTGAGTTTGTGAATTTTAAAATTATGATTTAAATGTATAAAATTTATTTGATTATAAATTTTGAAAGGATTTTGAATTTGATGATATTTATAACTTATAACTATATATATAATCTAAAATTTTATTCAAAATTCATAAAAAAATTTAAAAAAATTCAAAATATTTTTTATTTAAAATATAAAAATAATAGGTGCTAAAAAAAAATACGATTCTGGTCAACCAGAAGGATGACTGGGTAGATTAAAATTCAAAAATCCTCTATTTTTCAGAATAGAGAGAGAGTAGCCAAACAGGAAAGAGAAATATGTTTTGAAATGTGTGGTGAAATCACAATTCTAAAAGTCCATCTAAACAATACACGCAAATGGAAGGATGGAAAGTTTTCAAAGTTACACCAAACACAATCTCTATTTTCACGAGCTTAATTAGCTCCGGGCACACATTTAATAAAATGAAATTGGATAAATTATAAATATATTTTTTGAGATTTACTTAAATTATAAAGGATGATTCTACTTACACTACTCTTTCACGTCCTTACACCCTCCATATAAGATTGTTTTTTTTTCCAATTTTATTCATATGTAAAATTACTTAAAAGGACAAAACACTAAAATTAAATGTATTTGATTATCTCCTTACACCCCATGACCTTTCAATTCCTACTTCTCTTTTTCCTTTCTTAACTTTTCTTTTCTCTTACACATCCCTTTTGAAAAACTAATAATCATAGTGTTTTGATTATCAAAAAAAACAATGGATAAAGAAACGATAGTGAAAAACCATCAAAAAAGTGAAAATGGTGAGTTTTTTTTTTTAGTTTGGTAGGTTTTTGTTTCGATTTTCTAGGTTGGTGTGCGACTTTTGTTCGGTGTTTCGAAATTGAACAAAATAACATAGTCCGGCATCACAGTGCCGAAAAAAAAATATAAGTCTAGCATTATATTACCGAAGAGCCCCAAATTATTATTTATAACAAAGTGGCTCTATAAATGTATAACAACAGAACGCTAGACAAATATATTTTTTCTAGCAGCATAACACCGGATAAATGTAATTTGTCTACTATTGTGTGACTGAACAGACATTTCACAGTGGGCTCCACTGACTTTATTATGAAGCAAATTGAAAATTTCCAATTGTACGGCAATATAATGCTGAGAAAAACTATTTTGTCTAGTAACACAACACTGGATTAATTAAAATTCATTAGCATTTTATTACCGAACAGCCCCAGCACAAATTATTACCACATCATTTGGGAGGATATGACTCTGTAAATGTATAGCCACAAAAGGCTAGACAAAACCATTTATTCCGGCATTATAGCATCGAATTTTTGTAAATTGTTTCGCATTGTGTGATCGAACAAGCACTTCAATGTGGACTCTACTGGTTTTGTTGGGAAGCGAACAAAAATTATCCAATTGAACGGTAACATAATGCTGGGAAACAAAATTTTATCCGGTAACATTGAACTAGAGTAGTTCAAATTGTTTAGTATTGTATTACCGAACAGGCCCAGCATAAATAAAAAAAACATTGTTTAGGATAAAGTGACTCTGAAAATATCTAGCAACTAAATGCTGGAGGGATCTATTGTTTCCGGCAACTGAACACCGGAATAATTCAAATTGTTTAGCTGTATGACGCTGAATTATCCGATAACACTGAAAAAAACAATGTTACTTCCAGCAAATGGTACCATATCTCTCCAAAACACTTTAATACCATTACAATGCATTACAAACAATAGCAAATCCATATGTTCGCCAAAATAAGTTTCCATTGACATAAATATTAAATACAAAATAGATGTGAAACTGTTTAAAATTCTTACAAAAGTATGACAATTCATTACTTGTCCAACCAAGCATCCAGTTTATAAAAGATCCAAGGCATCCACAAAAACTATGCCATTAAGGAAAAGTATATCCCAAATTCTGTACGGCCTAGGCATTCACAAAAACTATGTCACCAAAAAAAAACTAGATCCCAAATTCTGTACGGGCTAAGCTTTCACAAAAACTATGCCATAAAAAAAAACTACATCCCAAATATCATGCACGGTTAACACAAAACTATATCCCAAATTGTATAGGGGCTAGACATTATGCAAAATTATGTCATCAAACAAAAAGTAGATCTCAATCCTCATATACGGTCCATCCTACGACGTTTACGATAGTAGACTTTATGCTCTGTACGTGTTGAAGTAGATCCCAAACTCTGCCCATCAAGAACTTACGGCATGCGACCAATGGTTTCATACAGCATGTCAGGGTGCAAGATATCCACGGACTGTTGGCGACATCCAGATTGCTCAACCAAATGTCTCCACCTAACATTTTAGATTGTTGGCGACATCCATGGCCACTCGGCAAGCTTTCGAGAACGATTCAAACATTTAAAAGGTCCCCGTTCTTGCATTTTACATAAAACATATAAATAATTTGAAGCATATAGTACATATGATTAGTTTATTGTTGAGAAATTCTCAAAATACTTTTTTCTTCCAAACAGCAGTAGCAACATGGTTACGGAAGCTAATTAGCAATGAAGGATCCTCTGGAGCACCCGGAACTGGTTCTGTGTTGTCATCATCTACACCAACATCGTCCTCCATGAGGTCAGCCTCTACACCAATATCATTATCGACATCGTCATCCTCTACACCAATATCGTCGTCAACATAATCATTATTCGCATCCACATGGTCATCCTCCTCCATAGGGACATTCACTTCCACTGGTTCAGGTTCTGTTTGCCTAGCACGTCTTCTGTTGGATGCCGTTGGTCTCTT